TTGTTGTAAGTGGAATCCGCAGGGGCTGTTTACCCAATGGAGCTGAAATAGTTCACTTCGTGGAGGGTAGGTCATGCAGTGCCTTCTTCCCCAGTGGTGGGACAGTGGGTGCCGAGAATTGGTTCTAAAAGGTGAGCCCGGGTCAAGAACTGCTTAAGGAAGCCTTTTTGAGGCTGTTGTGTGGTACATCTGTCTGCCTATTAGGGTCTGGATAATGGCTGTGAGTGTATGTTTTCGGGACAAGCCCCTGAATGAGGAACGAGAGAGATTCTGGCTCAAAAAGGGCAAGATTCATCACAAAGCCTGGAAGTATGGGCTACTTAGAGAGAAACATTGGGTCAACCACCTCTAGCTTTCCACACGTCACCAGTTCTAGGATCCAGACCCTTCCCTGTGAGTCTTCTGCAGTAATGCTGGCGGTCCTAGGCAGGGTTCTAGGGCTCCTGTCCTTGTCACTTGCTTTAGGGCTAGCTCGAGGGACTGTAGCCTTGCCATGCCTAGGGCTCCAAGCCGTAAACTGGGTTCCCAGCTCATGGGTACCTGTCTTAACTGTTTCACCAACAGATACCTTTCATTTGCCTTCTCCATCCCATGACTGTGGACAAACAAATCAGGCACTGATAAAGCTCAGGCCCTAAAGGAAGTCACCTACATATTTAGAAGTTAATCACTTAAAGAAAGTCCTCTTTCCCACTACATTCTCTGAAGGTAGATTGTGTCATAGGTCAGGTACTGTCCTCCACAAGAATGTGGCAGACAATAGATAGGGTAACTGAAGCCCTACATGCGGTGACCTTGATGTGCCAGTTTCTAGCCAGAAATTGCTGCACAAGGCAATGCTGACGGAGATGAGGGGCATTAGGGTAGTCGTCATCTCATCTGTGTCCCTAAGAATGCCATGGAAAGGTAGAGAAAACCCTTAAAAGGCTCCCACTACATCCCAGTATTGGAGGGGGAGCTGACCATTTCTCAGGTAAGGGCTCAGTCACTGGAAGAGCAGGACAAGACCATTCTGTGTCTGGGATGTTCCAAGACTGTGGGTCTAACAAATACATCCAAGAGGCTCAGGCACCCCCACACACGTACACCACAGAGCATCCAAGATATTGGGGTATCTGGCCCTCTGAGGACCTGAAATGTCCCCCTCCCTTGTCAGTAACCAGCTGACATCCTCCTGGGTGCATTCTATGATTAATGACCTCATATATTTGAGAGGCAATACAAGTCAATTATGTGTATAGCAACTTGGGATCTCTGAGAGCCAGAAGAGTCCTTTCTGTGAATAGGAGGCTGGGATAACCCTGAAGGGCAGAAAACTCTGTTTGTTTCCGAGGATACTGACTGGGGCATCTGGTTCCTACCAAGATGGCAAACAGCACAAATCACCAATTCCCTTGCTCAAAAGGAATCCTAGAGAAACCACAGAGGGAAACATAAGTTCCAGAAACTAGCACAGCTATGAGGAGGACCTATGGGGAAATGGAAGGCCGTCTCTCACTGGCCAGTATTTTGAGTGGCAGATGGCTGGAGGTAGCCAATACAGGATAGGTTAGAGATTTAAGTTCTGGCTCTTACCTCTCCCCCATGTTGCCCTGAGAAGTCACTTGTCTGCCCCATCACTGCAGAGATCATCCCTACCACCAGTACAGGTGTCTTGGGGGCTAGTGTCGGCACCAAACCCCCTGCTGGTGGTGACAGCTAGGGAGATAGCCTCGTCTGAGGGTTTAAAGATGGAAGCCCTGCTATAGGAATGGTCAGGCGGTATGACAGCAGATGGGACCGAGAGCTCTGTTTCTGTGGTGCCTGGGACTGTCCACCCTCTGGCTTATCTCCCCACACATCCCCTTCTCCCTTGAAGTCCAGGTAACTGAGCAGAGTTGAGTCTAGCCTTCGGCCTTCCCTTAATGTTTTATTAACCAAAACAGCTGCTCACATCAGGGGGAATGTGAGCTCAGCACCAAAATAAATAGATACTGGGATAGTATAACTACCTCCAGAGAAAAATTAATTGGATGTATTATGTACTACTACAGAACAAATTACTCCCCAAATTTAGTAGCTTAAAACAATGAATCAATTTTCTCAGTTTCTGACGGTCAGGAATTTGAGGGCAGTTTAACTGAGTGGTTCAGGGTTTCTTTTGAGGTTTCAGTCAAGCTGTCGGCCAGGACTGCAGTCAGCTGAAGGCATTACTTGACCAAAGGACCCACTTTAAACATGGCACACACATGGGGCTGTTGGCAGGAGACCTGAGCTCCTCCACGGGCCTCCTCACAACATGTGGTCCCAGCAAATAGGTGAGAGACTGTAACCAAGACAGAACCACAGTGTATAACCTAACCTCAGAAGTGACACTCCATCACTTCTGCTGTATTTCCTGGGTCACATAGACAAACCCTAGTGCAACATGGGAGAGAACTCCACAGGATGTGAATACCAGGAGGCATGGATCATTGGGGGCTATATTGGAGGCTGGCTACCACACTGGGTGACATATAATAAAGCAGAAGTATTGGGACAGGTGAGTGATTTTAAATAAGTATAATAGATAATGTAAGAAAGATAAAACAGAAACGAGATATAAAAAAAGGCCCAAAGAAAATACTAGGTATGAGTATGATGGTAGAAAAAAAGGGACAGAAAAACACTGTAAATGGAGAATATGAAATGAGATGTCAGGAGTTTTAATAGTAATTACAAAAATAGAACACAGAGATCCCTCACTGGATATTTTAAAAGGTCCAGCAGTATACACACACATACAAAGGTTTAGAAATGTTGAAAATGAAAGGATGAAGAAAGGGTATAGCTAGGGACTTGTAATTGGACTGAGGGGCCCCTGAAAATCAACAAGAGAAATATGGGAACTGGCCTAACAGGAATATAGATATGAACAAGCAATTTACATGAGGAAACACAAAATCAGACAAGCATGTGAAAAGTACTCAAAATCATTATCAATCATTTTGAAGTACAAGTTAAAAAAATAATGAAATTTGCACCAAATAGACTGAAAAATTTTAGAATGCTGGACAATGCTAAGTGTTGACGGAGGCAGGGGAATGTGCTTACATTGTTCCATCCATTCCAGATAACAATCTGGCACTGCTTACAAAAATTAAATATGTACATCCCCTATGTCCCACCTTATTCTTCTCTGAGTACACATCCAAAAGAAATTTTCACACTGGCCCATAAGGGAGCATTTACAAGGCCTTATTTATTGAAATGGAGATGTTGGAGGCAACCCAATGTCTCTTGTTGGAAGCACCTAGGGATACAATGATGCAGTGGATGTACACATTGGAATTTACTGCAACTATTAGAAGCAACAGATGATTAGATGCACCCATAACAACACAGATAAATCTTTTTTTAAAGATTTTATTTATTTATTTTTAGAGAGAGGGGCAGGGAGGAAGAAAGAGAAGTAGAAAAACATTGACCAGTTGCCTCCCACACACCCCCAACTGGGGATCTGGCCCACAACCCAGGCATGTGCCCTGACGGGGAATCGAACCAGCAAACTTCTGGTTTGCAGGCTGGCACTCAATCCACTGAGCCACACCAGCCAGGGCTAAATCTTAACATAATGCTGGTTGGGGGAAAAAAATGTAACTACCATTTACTTTAATTAAAATCAGACAAAATGTAGATTTTATATGAAGTCACACAAAAAGATAACATTAAACCCAATAAAGTGGTGAACTGTGGGAGGAAGAAAATGATATTTGGGTGCAGGAATAAAAGAATAAATAAAATGAGATTTGCATGGAACAAAAATGACAATGTGTCATGAACTGTGGAATATGATCAGAGGGCAGACACTCTGAAGGGCAAACAAGTACCTTTTTTTCTTTTTTCTTTTTTCTGCTGAGGGCTATCCAAGACCAGTATGTATGAGGACAGTATGAAATCTGTTTACATCCATCCTGGGCATAGAAGGTCTGAATATGGCAAAAACCAGACAAGTTCATTTTGTGGATGCATATGATACTGTACTCCGAAAGTTGACAAATTTAGTCTGTATTTTGGTGGGGAGCTAGCTGATTCTTAGATAGCTAGGCAAATCCATTCTACGGATGAGAAATTTAGTCTTTGAGGGCAAACTGACCCATTCCTCCTGGATGGAGAGCTCAGAAATGAAGTCTGTCAAATCCATTCACTGCAAAGGTAGCTAAGATAGTCTGAAGACTGCACAAGACCAAATTGTGGTTAGTAGGCTCAGACACACCTTGCTTTGGATAAGTCCACTGCGTACTGTCAAAGTTCTTTCTGTGGATCAAGAGCTCATTAACCCTGAGTGACAGCAAAAATTGTTATGTGGACTGGGGTTTACTTCCCCTGATGATTGGAACATCCAGTTTTGTGGAAGGCACCTCAGGCAGTCTACTGGCAGAGAAATCAAAAGACTGTCTTCAGGAGACTGTCAGGTAAATATGAGGGCTGAAGTCAGAAATGGGAAGGAATGATTCCAAGGAAAATGGTACCATGACAGGCTGCTAGATGTTAAGCACACAGGAGAAAACGTAGAAGTCTGGATCAGACACTGAGAAAATGTAGAGTCTGATGTTAAGAACTGTGAAGGGTCATGGAAAGTGGGGGATTAAATATCTGGCCCTTGGGGTATAAAACATAGGGCCCTTGAAGGATATGAGGGCTAGAAGGTGAAAGAGGTTTTCAGAGGATGGTAATAATGTCATCAGGGACCTAGAAAAAGACAACTGAGGTCATGAGAAAGTCGTCGGAACCAATGGGAAAATGACGTCAAGGGAGTGAGGACAGGGATAGAAAGGGATGTGAGAAAAGGTTCATAGTTATAAGGGATGAAGATGGCTAGGGCCGGAGAGATGCTTACGTCACTATGCATAGACCACACAAAGCTCGCCTCCGTTCCGGAAGCTAACGAGCACTTCGCTTCCTTTGCTCTGCCGTCCATTCCTCCCACCCCCGCCTCGCTGGCCTCAGCCAATCAGCACGCGTGAGGTTGTTCAGTGACGTGTATGGCACGTACACTTTATTAAGCGTCTTCCCGCGCCCCATCCTTCTCAGTCCCTCTGCTCTTCGGCGGTAGCTGTCCATCTGGCCCTTTTACTGAACTTCTGGGTAAGCGCTGTCGACTTAAGAGGCTTTCCTCGCTTCAGTGGTGTGCGCCGCGCTGTCCTAGAGCGAGGCGCGCAAGTGGGAAGAGTAGCGGCTTCGGATACATAGGGTTGGGCCTCTCTGGGACGGGCGGGCCCCGTGCTCCGAGGTTAAACTTTAGGTTTGGTGGGAAGCTGGCGCGCTGTATCCAGGCACCAGGAGTGCGAGGAGGGGCTGGTGGCATTGGTTGCGGGATTGACCATGCGGTGGCCGAGACCTGCGGGGTCGGGGGAGGGGGGGTGCTCTTCCCATGTGACTACCGCCATCTTGTTCTGCAGGAGCAGAGTGAACGCATGGATGTTCTGGGCCTGCGCGGCGTCACAAAATGACGGGCGTGTTGGCAGGGGTTGTGGGCATGCGCGAAGGAGGCTCCCAAATGGCTACCTCTCTGAGCCAGCCCCGTAGATTTCCGACTTTTGGGGCCTGCCTTCTCGGTTTCCCCTTAATTACGTGTTTGTTTTCTGTTGTCTCCCCCTTTCCTATTTATCCTTTCTCCTCCAACCTCTTTCACCCTCCCACTGTTCTCCCGCCCTTTTCTATATTCTCTCAGGACTCAAATTCACTGCCATGTCCTCTGAAGAAGGGAAGCTCTTTGTTGGAGGGCTCAACTTCAACACCGATGAGCAAGCTCTGGAAGATCACTTCAGCAGCTTCGGTCCAATTTCTGAGGGTGAGACGTGGGCCAGACCCATAATGGGTGGGTACGGTTAGAGGAAGTCTGGGGCCCCCAGGCTTTCATGTACTCCTTTCCTTGCTTTGTTCCTTGGTCTAAGGTGTGTAGGTTAGGCTTTGGAGAATCTGATAACTTTTAATTGAAGGTTAGTGGGAGGGTTCCATTCTCTACTTGATACTTGTCACTTTTCCTCTTACCCATTTTCTCTTTCTCGTCCCCAGTGGTCGTCGTCAAGGACCGGGAGACTCAGCGATCCCGGGGTTTTGGCTTCATTACCTTCACCAATCCAGAGCATGCCTCAGATGCCATGAGAGCCATGAATGGAGAGGTGAGGCCTTCTACCTGCATTAGGGCCCTGCCCCCATCTCTGCCACTTCCACCATTCTTTCTGTTTTTCCCTCTGTGTCTGCTAGGGGCAGCGCGGCCACCAAACCCCACGGTGCCCACTCACAGGAGCGTGACTGCCTTCTGTTCTAGGGGGTGGAGGGCAGCGGCAGACAGAGCCGGGCTGCCTGGGAGGCGACGACGGGTCCTGCATGAGGCCGAGAAGCCACCCGTGGATGGTTGACCTTGACCTGCCCTGGGCTTAGGTAGTAGAGTCTGCAGACCTGTGGGCCTGGCCCGGAGAGGACCTCGTGAGTCTTCTGGCATGGACTCTGAAGCCTCAAACCAAGAGAGGTGTCTGTCTAGCCCTAATAGTTGGGCAGCTTAGAGGAGTGGGGAGGAGAACTCACCTGAGATCAGTCAAGATGTAAGTAGTAGCAGGGGAACACGGTGGATTCAGGTCATTTTGTGGGATTCTGTAGCTCCTGATAAGGCCATTCTGGTCAAAGGAGCTTGTTGTGGAACATGGCACCCAGAACTTGGTGCCCAGCAGGAGTTTCTGGGCTCTTTTGCCCACCTGCCCTGCCCACTCTTTCCTTACCACTTCCCTGGGTGACCACCAAGCCATCCTCTTTGTGTCTTCTCACACCTAGTCTCTGGATGGTCGCCAGATCCGTGTGGACCACGCGGGCAAGTCAGCCCGTGGAACCAGAGGAGGTGCCTTTGGGGCCCGTGGGCGTGGTCGCAGTTACTCTAGAGGTAAGTACAATGGTAAGTTTGATCACAGGGTGTGAGGGAGAACCAATTGTTAATGGTGTGTGTTGGACAGTTGCAATTTTCAATATTTGTTGTAGGTGGCGGGGACCAGAGCTATGGGAGTGGCAGGTATGACAGTCGACCTGGAGGATATGGATATGGATACGGATATGGAAGGTCCAGAGACTATGGCGGCAGGTGGGTAACCAAGGGTTTGGGGCACTCTTGGTGGTACTGCCTTTCTCTTTAAGAACTGGGCTGCTTGGGTGTTCATATATATATTTCACTGCAGTGTTATTAATGCTTGTTTTACAAGTTGTAATGAAAATTATGAAACAAGTTTGAAGTATATTTTGAGTTATGTATAATGCATTAACAAATTTTAAGATACTATAATTGCAGTATGTGATAATATGGACGTTTGTTTTACTGTGCTCGTTAATTGTCTATTGCAGTAACATTTAGTATGATTTAATGTGCAGTGTAAACCATATGCCATATAATTATGTGATTTCTACATAATGTTCATGTGCTTAATATAGCCTTTTTAATATTAATTAAATATTAAATAATACTTAATATTTGCAAGTATTGAAGTTTATAATAATGTGATGAAATATGTAAGTATGGTTTTTACTATTATCTGGGGGTGTTTGATACATTGCTGTAACACTGTGTTTTTCCCCCAGAAGCCAGGGTGGTTATGACCGCTACTCAGGAGGAAATTACAGAGACAATTATGACAACTGAGATGAGGCATGCACACCTAATGTAGGTGAGACTTGTAGATTGCCACTGAACAGACCCTGTTGTGTTTCTGTTACCTTTACCCTGCCTGCATGTACCTCACCTGGCCCATAGGTCTCCCTTGACCTCAAGTGCCTGTCAGGGCTGGTCTGCCTGCCAGGGTATAGGGGAGGGGTATCTGAAAACCTGTCTTCCCTATAACCTGCTGGGCATGGAGATGAGAGTATGTACTTGTTGAGAAGTCCTTGGTGTCCTTATCAACCCCAGGAGGTCAGCATGTCAGCTTGTTCCTTCCTGGCATCACAATTCTTCCCCTTTTTACTGTTCTCAGATACACAAGGAATAAAACTTCTGATCCAGGATCATCCTTCCAAATGGCTGTATTTATAAAGAGTTTTGGAGCTGCACTGAAACATCTGTTTTAGTATATAAACATATTTTTAAATTGAGCTCCCAAGGTAGCTTGTCAAAGACCTTTTAGAAAGTTTTGTGTTTTTATTTTTAGTTTTTTCTCCCATTTAAAGACAAATTCTGGGGCATTTAGTTTGGGCTCTCAGGATTGGTTCTGGAAAAAAATTTTTTAAAAAGTGTGACCAGACTTTATCCCCCCCCCCAACCAGAAATAATGTGTATCTAGGGACATTTTAAATACATACATAGTGTTTACCATGGTTAGGAAGCAATTTCCAAATGTAACTACAAGACATTAAAACGTGATTACATAGAGGTGGTGTTTTTTTAATTGAAGATCACTGCCCTGCTATATAGATGTTTCTTACAATACTTGTGAATGTCATATTTTTTTAATACCGGAAGAAAAAAATACCCTGTTGTGTTTCGTGTAGCATTTAGGATGTCCTTCATGGAGCTGATTAAAAAGATGAAACCTGAAAAACATTGATATTGATAGTGCTTTTTCCTTATTCAACCCAGTTTGTAATTTGAAAATAGAAGATCAACAGGAAGGGAAGCTTTGAGCAAAGGATTTACTTGGGAGGTGGGGTGGGCAGAGACTCAAAAGTTTAAAGTTTGGGACTGATTCAGGTATATGCAAGTGCACCTTAGACATACTCTGTTCATTTCTACACCACAGCAGTAGTGGAGTCTCACTATAAAGTGAGTCATAACCTTTTTGCTGGTGGAGGGCTTTGCCTTCAGTTGATAAAGCACAACGTCTGTGAAGTGCAGTAAAACGGGGTATGCATGAGGTGAAGTCCCCTAATAACTGGAATTGGGTTTCTTTATGGTCTCATTGTCTTGAATGTATCAGCATTTCTTGTTGAGGGTAAAGCATGTTTAAGAGGCATATACAGCCATTAATAGCGGTCCCTTGCCTTGGCTTGGTCCCATTGCCAAGGACCTTTCCCCCCATCCAGGTGGTCCTGCCCAGTTCACTGAGCAAGGCCCAGGTAAAGGCATTCTGTGCTGGACCTTCAGGAAGCCCAGGCAACGGGCCACTATTACTGCTTAGTTGGCCAAACCCTCCATCACAGGGATTCAGTAGTCGGGTGGTGGCAGTGGCCTGGTCTGGTTTTGTGCCTCTAGCTAGTATGAGTTCAATTCTACTCCTTTTAGGATTCTGGTGGCCGCATTGGAGTCCCGCAGGCTTTAGCCTTTCATCCAGAATTTCTAGTCAGTTGTGTCCATGGCTTCCACCTGGCCGATGTTGAACTAAGTACCAACAAATTGCAAGTTCTGGGACAACCTAAACTGCCTTATTTCCTCGTTACTGGGACTTAACATTAATGGACTGATTGTGTCCTCTCAAAATTTGTTGGAACCCTCCCTGATACGATGGTATTAGGAAGAAAAGCCTTGTGGGGGATAACTTGGATTAAATGAGGTTATGGGAGTGGGACTCTAATCATGATGTTAGAGACAGCTTCCCTGCTTTGTTCCACCATGTGAGGACACGAGGGATTCTGGAAGAGGGCCCTCACCAGAGCTGAACAAACCATGCTTGTGTCATCTTTAACTTTCCAGCCTTCAGAACTGAAATTTCTGTGCATAAGCCACCCAGCCTGGTACTGTTAAAGGAACCCAGACTGACAGCATCGGTCCATGTATTGTGAGTGCCTGTGTTGGCAGCCTGCTTCCCAGTCTACCAGTTAGTTGGGACAGGTCCCAAGGACCCTTCCATCCAGGTGGTCCTGCCTAGTTCACTGAACAAGGCCCAGGTAAAGGCATTCTGTGCTGGACCTTCAGGAAGCCAAGGCAATCAACCACTATTACTGCTTCATAAGGGGGTGAGGAAGGGCTCCTCTGCCCCCTGCACCTAAGGAAGTAAAATGTTCTCACTGCCAGTGTGGCCTGAGATAGAATCCTGTAATCAACTATAAAGTTCTGCAACAAAATGATACCTAAGTGACATCAATAAAGACCATAAGTAGCCTCTTATATTTGGATGACACTGATCAGCTCGTTCTTTTCTCCTGGTTTAAGGTGCTTTGTAGTCCATCCCAGGGAGGCCCAATCTCTCCTTTAAGGAAAGGCATATAGAACAGTTGGTTTTCTTTGGCACTAAAATTGCTGATCAATAAAATTTTCTGACAAAAATGCCTATTAGTCCTCTGCTTCAGTTTAACTAGGATCTCACTAATATGTGTATTCCCCAAGAACCCACCAAAACCAGAAACTCCCAAACACTCGCCTTGAGAACCTGTGTCCCAAGGCCTGTGAAGACCAGATCCCTGGCCTACAGGTACATTTTTTTAAGTGTTTATTGATTTTAGGTTTTTTTTTATAAGATTTTATGTTTAGAAAGGGGATGGGGGAGAGAGAGGGAGAAAAACATCAATGTGTGGTTGCCTCTCGCTTGCCCCCTACTGGGGACCTGGCCTGCAACCCAGGCGTGTGCCCTGACTGGGAATCAAACTGGTGACCCTTTGGTTCACAGGCTGGCACACAATCCACTAAGACACACCAGCCAGGGCTAAATATATTTATTGGTTTTAGAGAGGGAAACATCAATTGGTTGCCTCCCATACCTGCTTTGAGTAGAAAGTGAACCTCCAACCTTTTGGTGTACAGGACAATGCTCCAATCAACTGGGCCATACTGGGGAGGGCAGCAAATATTTTTCAAGCTCTGGATGGTGCTTTTACCAAAAGCTATCTACAAACATCCCATAGACACCCCCCCACACACACACACTTCAAGGTCCAGAGTAAATCCCAAGCCCTGCTCCTCCCACCCCATGCAAGCTGAATCACTTTTCAGATCCTGCTTCCTAACTTTTTTTTTTTGTCTCAGGTTCAGCGTGTGTAAAAGGAATAGTGCCCAGCTGGTGGTGGGGTTAAGGGTGTTAAATGCAACATATATAGAACAGGGGAGGTCTCTGATACCCCCATACCCTTTCTTCCATTGTAGGTGTAGGGGTGTGGAAAACTTTCAAATAACCTTTTAAACTAAGATGCTGTGAATACTAGGGGTATGTAGAATTTTTTAAAGGTCAGTAGCCAGTATTCGTACCACTCATGCTTATCAAGACAAACCATGCCAGGTCCTGCCCTGGCTGGTGTGGCTCAGTGGATTGAGTGCCAGCTCAGGATTGCCGGTTTGATTCCAGGTCCGGGTACATGCCTGGGTTGCAGGTTGGGGGCATGTGAGGCACATTGCTGTTTCTCCCTCCCTTCCCGTCTATAAGTAAATAAAATCTTTTTTAAAAAAATGATGCCAGGTCCCTAGCCAGCTGCATATCTCTTGTGTCTCCTTCCTTTCCCCAGCCTAACATAAGGACCATGATCTCATGTAATTCATTGTGCCCCAAGATCTGGAAAACCAAAAGAGATTATTTTCAAATATGGTGACAGGCCTCACTTGAAGCTTTTCATAATCTTTATTTTTCCCACTCAGTGTTGAATATACATACAATATACTGGGAAAATGTTAGTGGTTATGAAGTGTCTCTCTAGATCGAAGCGGAGGAGGGGATTTTCAACATACAATGAATGCACAATGGAAATTAAGGCTTCTCAATTGTTATAAATAGATAAAGAATCCATGGAGCCCTGACTGGTGTGGCTCAGTTGAGTGTGGTTCTGCAAAGTGAAATGTCACTGGGTTGATTCCTGGTCAGGTCACATGCCTGGATTGTGGGTTCAGTGGGGCATGTATGAGAGGCAAGCAACTGATGTTTTCCTCCTCTTGTCCCTCTCTAAAATAAGTACAATCTTTTTTAAAAGTGAAAAGGTCTTAAGACACTTGTAAAAACCCATGGCATTGTTTTGCATAGACATTTCCAATATACCATCAAGTCAGATGTTTAAATTGAATTTTAAACTTTAAGTAAAACTCATCTCTGAACGTTTCCTTTACTCTGTCTAGTTCTTAATAGTTTTCCAAGCACAGAATTTGGTCTATTTTTAACTTTATGACTGCAGTCCATGGTAATAAATACATTTTTCTTCATTGGGGTCCAGTCCACCCATTTGTATAAGTGAAAGCTTTAATGAATGAAATGTGCAAAGTTCCTTAATGTTTCTCAGTTTATTGTATTTTAACAAAGTCAGCTGGACTGAAACCATTCAGATGCTTATGGAGGCTGCAGTTTGAAAAATGCTCTGTTTATAATTGTTCAACCTGGGTGATTGTTACATGAAAGTTCATTCTGTCAATACTAGTTTAAGTTTGAGATTTTCCATAATAAAAGGTTAAAAAGAAAACTGTTAGAGGTGTGATTTGTTGGACCTCCACATTGGCATGGGAGGTAGGTAGCTGTCATCTGTTTTCTGAATGCCTACCCTGTCTCCCGAAGCCCTCTCCGTAGTTGTAGGCATTTCTATTCCAAGGGCCTCAAGACACCCTGGTCTATAAATGCTAGCTTTTATTTCTTGACATCTGGTATTCCTTAAGTTAATATTTTCCAGACAATGACCCTAGAACTCCTTCCTTCTTCCCCACCCGTCATGACTCTTATGGCTTCTCCAAACAGAAGGGTCGTCTGTTTGCCCAGCACCAGAGGTCCTGCCTTCCCTCCTCCAAAACCCAGGGCATCTAAACACCTGTGTCTTCGCCTGTAATGTGAGGGATAATACCCATTAAATGAGTCAAGATATGGGGGACATCTAGAACAGTGTCCGGTAGTTAGATGTAGTCAGTAAATGTTATATGTGCCAGATAATAGAAGGGACACAGCAAAGAATACAACAAATTTCTTTCCTTCAGGAATCACACATGTATCAGAGGGGTCCAGAGACCATAAAATAGTAAATTGGTGCATAATGTAACATTAGTAACTCAAGCATTAAGGAAAATAAAGTGGGCGATGGGGAGTGATGTAATATATTTTACACAGGGTGGTCATGGAAGGCAACTCAGAGGAGGGGACTTTACACTTGAGACCTGCAGATAGAGGGAGAGCAAACAAGGAGGATATCTGGTTTAGGACAATGGTTCCACCACAGCGCTCTGGCTGCCTTGCACATCTCCACATAAGCCAGGTAGGCAAGCCGATCTAAGTGTTGGCAGAACACTCCGTGATCTTTGGAACACAGAGCACTGGAGGCTTGTGAGGAAAAGCTTCCAGGCCAGCTCTCGTTAACCTCCCTATCTACCAAAGAAGCTGTCATGAGACAGTTTCTCACCGCCTAAGGTTCTGGTGAGGTCAGAGGTGTTCTGTCCCTCTCCTCCGCCCACCCCCAACTTCAGGCTATAGAACTGCTTAGTGTGGAATTAGTTCTCTGCAGCAGGGTGTCATACCACTCATGCTGTAGTCAACTGGCCCCTTGTGTTTCAGTGTTACCCACACGAGGAACATGAGCTGGCATCTGTGACTGTTCTTGCTTTTGCTGTCTATGTAAGTAGCAAACACCTGAATTGAACAAGGGCTTGTTTCTTTACTGGCCAAATCTGTCAGCCTTTCCCAAATGTGGGAACGGAGAATTACAGGCAGAA